TTTGGACAGGCTTGCTGTCTCTAAGGCTGACACATACAAGATTCAAGATGAACCCAGAAGGATTTCAAAAAAAAAAAGGGTTATAGATGGGCGCTTGTTCAAACGGAGGTCTAAACCCTCCACCCATCCCGCAGTTAAGATGTTTGTTCCTCTGACAATTGTGAGTGCAAGTTCATCTCACGAGAAAAATTGATGCAGTATGCGGCAGCTGGCTCTGGGTAGAAGTGAAGCTTCTCGAGAGGGAGAGTGGTTCATAGCCTGTTTGAACCGCTGGTTGCACCCGAAAAGTCAAAGGTTCAAAAGTTTCTGGAAAGGATGACCACTTCAAGAGTTTTTGAAAGGTGACTTGCGAAAAAAAAAACAATTTTTGCTAATAAAGCATTATCGTGGTTTAGTTTTTGTACTAAAGATACATATTATAAGCTAGCATCCAGATGTCTGGTCATGTTGACGACTTCCAATCAATCGGGTAGGCACAATCCGACTCCCGCCGAGATACTGGCTGCTGAACTTGCGTCGCACATGCATCTGACGATGCAGGTTTGAATGAGCACACCCACTCAACACTTGAAGGGGTGATGCTTCTGGATTCTGCTCGTTGTAAGCCTGTTGACCGGTCAGTTCCTGAGCCCAATCGCTACTCTCACTGCCCGCGCAAGAAAAACAAAAAGCCACAAGCGGTGTATTGATTAATATTGATGTGTGCAATCTGCCGGTGACCCAAGAAAACAAAAACCAACACACAACCGGGGTGCCACCTTGTTCCCATCTTTGCTCACACTTCGGGCCTCCAAACCTTTCCCAAATCTTCTATGAGTTATCCTGTACCTCAGCCATCTTAGGGGCATCCGGGCGGTAAGGAAAAAGAGTAAGATTCCTGTCTTGACCTATAAAAATTGCATAGTGCGCCGTTTCAGAAATCTTTTACACTTGAGAGATACTCATAGGTTTTGAGTGCGACTAACCACTCCAACTTTCACCATCCAATTGATCCCTCCGTTCATCCAAGCGAACCAGAATACCCAACCCAGTAAGAATTTGAATGTAGAGAACGAGAGATTCTTGAAGACGACTATCAGCTCATGTGTCGCCCATGATTATTTGATCAGCGTGATTTGACATCGAGTCTCAACTCTCTCAGGGGAGAAACTCACAATTAAGAACTGTTGAGATCCATCCATCTCCTCTTTTGAACAGCGAGTAGGACATCAAGAGCGGCGAGTTGGAAACAGATTCCGAGAGTTTCTGGATCATAGCTTGGTGGATTTCCATGCTCGCCATAAAGCTTGTGATCAACTCTTCGCCCTTTCGCTTTACACGAGTGTGTCGAATTTTTTTTCAGAAAAATAAATCACATCAAAATTTCCTTGTCGTGACTTTGAATAACGATGAATCCTTGAAAGGTTACATTACTTTGTTTTCCTCCATCCTAGAATTAGACTCCCTTAGGGAACCCTCGCGATCATTTGATGCGATTTGAATAGAGTCAAGGTTTTGTTTCATTGAGTGGATGGAATCCTCTGCCGAGAGAAGCTCATCGAAGAGCTTGGACTGGGTTTCTTTCTGTCAATCATCTCCCCTTCCGCATTTTCAAGATTGTTTTCAATCTCAATACTTACCATTCTTAGCGATTGCAATGTAATACTTTCTTCCAGTGCGTGATGATGTCGCTGGCTGGCTAAATTCAAGGCAGCTTCGAACGCCTACTATGATCACACGATTCCGATTACTGATCTATGCACACTGACGAGTACAGGAGAGAGAAAACACTGCTACATGTTTCTACGGTTTATCAACGAGCATGACTCGCCTTTTTGATTTGGTGGTTCAGATTGGCTGAGCTTGATTGACTGACGCCGTGAAATTCTTGCTTCAGTTTTTCAATCATTCTGACGGCGGCAGAATCCAGACTGGATTGAATTCTCTGTCCCACTTCTTGCTTGATCTAATAATTCATCTCTGTTATTATCTTTTCTCGGAAGAGCAAGAAATGGTGAAATAAAGTAAATTACTAACCAGGTGGAGGAAGTCGTTAACATTCTCATTCACTTTCACTTCATGATTATCGTTGAGGGATTGAACTCTGTGTTGAATAGTATTGATCTGCTGGTTCTGTTGCGCATTAAATTCTCTCCACAATTCCTCATTGCGCGCATCCAAGGAAGCCCTGAGATCCTTGAAACGATTTTCGATTTCATAAAAAACTTGTTGGTCTTCTTGACGGTTCTTTTCCGAGACGGATTGAAAGTTTTGGATACTTTGATCGAATAAGCTTCTCACGTGATCCCGTAATTTCCTGAGGTCTTCCTGGTTGGATTGATGGTCCAGCCTACCTAACCTGATCATATCAGTCGAAAACCGGATAGTTTTCAAGTTCAAGGAGTGAGCCAGCTCTGTTCACACAAAAACAAAAAAAAGAACGGCAGTCTGTATGAGTACAAGCCGTGATGTGAAAAATCTCAACAAGAAGTGGATAAGAAACATGCCTATTCCTTGTAATTTTTGATGGGCAAAACATAGTTGAACGGCCTCTCTTTGATGGCCGGTAAAGGAGGACCAGGATTGAGGAGAGGCGTGTAATGCACCGACGCAAGCCTGGAGCTGTGGCGAAGCGGGATCAGAACCGGCTTGAATCCAGTGGGTGCATTCTCTGGGCAATGTTAGACGGTTGGTTTCCAATTCACAGATGGTCAACCTGGCCGCAAATGCCGTTCGATGTGCTTCCGAGCGTCCCAGCACTGAACATAACGCGGGTTCCGGTTCAGTGCTCTTCTCCTGGCTGTTGAGGGAGCCAAAGATGTGACTGTAGCACGAGCTTTCCTCTCGCTCGGGTTCTGCGACGATACCCCCCACATAAAAAAAAAAAGAAAAATCAATATTTGGTGGCGCGGTTTACTTTCAGAGTCCTCTTCATGCAGGAAGTCAGACTGACCAACACTGAGTAGTCCCTGTAGTCGCGCCTCTAGTTCGCTTTTCAAATCGGCAGCCCGCTCCTCGCTCTCTGAGAGCGCATTGTTCCTCTGCGACGCCACTGAGTATGCATCTTGGAAGCCAAACCTGAACCCGAAAGTCGAGCCAGTGATTACGAAGAGGAACAAAAAACCTAGCGATGTTGTTGGAGGTAAGCGAGGAAGCCAGTTCATCCGGCTGCTAGTGTTTGTTGTTGGATTGCTGATGGTCAAGAGGAAGGCGCAATTGGCTGAGACGGTTAACTGTATCGGCTTGTTGACCGTCTGGAGCCTGCTGGTGCCAGCCAAATGACCACCTTAAACTGGCTGTGAACGATTCTCTGCCAAGGTTTGCTGACTGCAAAAAGTAAAAGTCTCGAACCTTTAAGGCTGAGACTGGCCATTTCCCTCCATACTCCCAAAAGGATTTGAAAATTGAATCCAGCCGCATAGCACCGGCTATGTGGCATATGGGCTGGCCGATGTATCCAGCCAAGCTCGACCAAAATGTCGAATATGGGGAAGGATCACTACTGAAGCAACTCATGTAAGTTAAAAGGTCTTTATCCCTGCAACGGCAGTCAATGTCAGACAGCAGCTCAGTAATCAGCGCGAGGGGTTGGAAAATGACGGGGCCCTTTCCTTGCCCCAAGCCTATAGTGACTTCCTCCAAGAACAACAAACGTGCCATGTCCTCTAGAAATAGAATTCTTTGCCGGTCTTAATCACCGTGTCTATTAGCCATGCTTATTTGACTAGCTGTGACGATTGACTGGCCATTAAGTTGCTTAAGGAGGCAGAGATCGCCAGAAGACTGCAAGAAAATGAGAGGGGGATAGCCTTACTTTTCCGGTCTTCCTTCTCACTGATAGCTCGCCCAACGCAGTTGTAAAAATCTAACCGTCCAAGTAAGGTAGGAGTGATCACCGGCAACACGACTATGTCGCACAGAGTCATCTCGCCGTGACATATCTTACGGTCGTGGATGCATGCTCTTCACCTTCATTCGACTACTGGATCAAATTGTCGACGCTATTTCATTCTTCTTCACTCACTCTCATGCAAGATATGCGACTAAAAAGAAGCTCGCGAAGTCAACCCGGAAGTTCTTTCCTATTTGCTTGAGAGTGTGCCTTGTTTATTATTCAGTCTCTCAAAAAATGGAATATGATGGTGTGCACTTCCCGCAACAAGAGGAACAAGATTGCCAGGAAATTCATCTCCTTTTCCCCTGTCTCTCAGCCGGTTTCTTTCTGTTGTTAGCTTGACTATTTTATGTTGGAAAAAGATGGCCCCTTTTCTTTCAAAAAAGGTGGATCAAAGCTACTGCTGATCAAATGCCAAATTTCTCAATTATACAAAGTCTCAGCAAGATTGTTACAGCAAACAGATCATACGCTGTGTAGTTGAGAAAAAAAAGACAATTAGAGTAGAGGATTAGAAAAGAACTGGCAGTGATATCAAGAATTGAATGCAATGCAATATAGACAGATTCTAGTTGATGAATTGAACAGCGGAGTCTGTGGTGATTGACTCCTACCAAATATTGCAAAGAGACTAATATGTTCAAGAAGAAGAAGAAAAAGACAACAAGATCAATACTCAACAACAAATCAATCAAAAACAACATGAATGTCAAGCACCTCAGATGCTCCCCCCAGATGGATCAATTGGATACTTGTGAAACAACTTAGTTTGTTGGTACTGGGGTTTGTAATATGGGTTTTTATCCATGAGTATTTGTTGATCATCTTTGTAATTGGATGGGTGGTGTGCTTATATGAGGATCACTTGCTCTTGTGCTTCATGTTGACTTGCTTGGATGTGTTCTGCTAGGAAATATAGCTAAATTTGAGCTTATCTGAGTGGGTGGGTTTTTGATGGAGATCAGAGTTTGACTCCTTTGAGAAAGATGCCACATGTTCTTACATCCACATGGACAAACCACAAGAGGTTTCTGTTCACCACCCACAAGACATATTTGTGCTCACCCAACATCAGTCATGGGTTGGCCCAGCAAGCCAAAACACCATGACCCGGGGGGCAAAAATTTTCTCCCAAGGGGGCTCGAACCCCTGACATCAACGTAACCTCATAGAGGGGTGTGCTACCACAGTATACCGGCTTCCCGACGAGGGGGAATGCCGTAATATAAGCATTGCGCTCTACCAACTAAGCTATGGGAGACCACGTGGTTCATGTAATCGCTTTCCCAGAATAAATCCCAAAATAAATTAGATTCGATACTATCTATGCTTGATTTTCCTCGCATTCTCCCCCATAACATCAACTTTTCGCCACTTTTCTCATCTCGGGAGAAAGCCGAGGAAACACATCAACACAAAGAAGTCATTGCCGGCCAGACGACCACAATCCCTGAGAAGCACAGGTTCAGACGAAACGATGGGCACTCAGGACCCAGGCGATGGAAAGCCGGACCCGATCTTGTTGTCCTTGTTTGCCAACAGTTGAGTTGTACATTCTTTTATTCTACCGAATTGGTTCCAGCCCGCCATGATGCCCGTACAACTCTCATGCTATTTTTTTCACCTTTTTCTGTCAAAAACAACAGGGTTCATGTCCGTTGCAGAGGTTAATCGGAGATGTCATGAATCAATCAAGCCGACAGTGGCTGTAGTGACGAATGATTAACACGAATTTTGTGAATGTTACACCTCATTCAGGCCATGGGATGCAGCTTGCAACAAACGTCTATCAGCACCAACATCAAGTCTGTCTTTCCGGTTTTCCATCCAGCCTCAACTTCCTCATCCACACCACGCTCATTCGATCTTACGTTTGTTACATTCAAATGTATGACCAATTTCCCGTCGACAAAAAAATCTCAGGGAAAGGCTCGATTACTCTTGTGCAATCTTCGCTCCTAATGGAGATCTGGTAGCCAATGTGAGCATCTACCTGACCATTTCCATATTATTCATTCTATATCCTACCTTTTTCTCTTCCTTTTCCTTGACCATCATTGTCTTGCTCGAGAAAGAAAAAAGAAACCTGACTTCGATTTGAATGTAGGCGCCTCATTTGCCAGTGCATCTCGGCTCTATGTCATTGTAAGACACTCCCAACCCACTTTGAAATCTCGAGAAAAAGTGTCCATATTAGGGTTGAGTCTTTGACTCAATCTTATTGAAATTATAATAGCGCTGTGCGGTATCAAATTCAGTACCTTCAAGGACAAATCTTTCCTGGAGATGTCATCATGGCCAATCATCCACAAGCCGGAGGAAGGTAATTTTTTTTTGCACTCATCAAAGAGTTGGTAAATTCTTGAAAGTACGTACGTCTGATGCTTCACGCTTCGAATCCTTCCTCCACTGGACAGTCATTTACCCGACATCACATTGATTACACCTGTGTTCAATGGGGAAACATTAGTGTTCTTCACGGGTATGAGCTTTTCTTTGTTTTTATGTAACTGACGTGAACTCTCGAACTGTATCTGGAGGATACGGAATGCTTCTTGCTTTATTACTCATTGACAGGTCCTTTTTCTTGCTCAAAGCCAGTCGTGCGCACCACGCCGACATTGGGGGAATATTACCAGGATCGTGAGTGACTATATACTGCCGGAATCGATGGTCCTCTTGTGTACAGCCGTCACAAGGCCTGACAAGGATGTTGTTTTTCATTCAACAACTCAGAATGCCACCAACATCGACCAACATCTTCCAAGAAGGGGCGCAAATCAAATCATTCAAGATAGTCTCTAATGGCCAATTCAACCAAGCGGAATTGAAGAAGTATTTGGTTGAAGAGCCAGCACAGTATGAGGGCTGTTCTGGTACACGGTGTTTTGGCGATGTGGAAAGTGATCTCAAAGCCCAGATTGCCGCCAACAATAAAGGTCGGCCACTTTTGTGCAATACTCTGAAATATTCGGGTTGCGCACTCACCGAGTCCAGAATGGTTGGAAAAAAATACTCACCGTGTCTCCCTTGTTGATTTCATAACATGCAGGCGTTGGTTTAATTTACCTGCTGATAGCTGAGTATGGTTTAGAAACTGTCCAAGCTTACATGACCCATGTAAGCCATCGGCTCTTCATGATAGTCAAGCAGCATACCCAGAAGACAACTCAAACATAGCAAGTATGCACGATGTTAATTACTTGATCTGACCAGATCCGAGATAATGCGGAATTAGCGGTCAGGAATTTGTTGAAGCAAGTGGTGAAAGAGAGGGGATCGAAGAAGCTCCATGCAATCGAGTATCTGGACGATGGTACACCCATTGAGCTCACTGTGATCATAGATGACCAGAACGGCTCGGCGATTTTTGACTTTGATGGGACGGGCCATGAGATGATTGGTACCCACTAACTTGATTTCTCAGTCAGCGTAGCAAAACCTTTCATCTGATCAATTTCTCATGGGAACAGGTAACTTGAACACTCCCAAAAGCGTGACATATTCCACCATTATATACTGTTTGCGAGCCATGGTTGATTTAGATGTCAGTTATTCATTTTTATATCACGGTCAATAGTGTTCCACTAATCAGTATCCCCCCCCCATTTGTGTTCATTTAGATCCCGTTGAATCAAGGATGTTTAGTGCCCATTGAAGTAAGAATCCCGCCGAACTGCTTTTTGGACCCATCGGATACAGCAGCAGTGGTGGGGGGGAATGTGGAATCAAGTCAAGTGATTACGGGCGTGATATTGAAGGCATTCAAAGCAAGTGCAGCTAGCCAGAGTACGTGCAATAATCTCACTTTTGGTCAGGGAGGTAAGGACAAGGATGGTAACCACATTGCCGGCTGGGGTTATGTAAGTCAAGATAAACCTGCATTATCAAATTTCTGTTGCTGAAAACCCACCCCGATTAGTATGAGACGATTGCTGGTGGCAGTGGGGCCGGTCCTACTTGGAATGGAACTAGTGGAGTTCATACACACATGACCAACACCCGAATCACTGTAAGATCAGCATAGTTATCTTTTCCTCATCGAGCGAGTTGGTTGAAACCGACACCTCGCAAGCTTAGCAGGGGAGCTAAACTAAATGTGTCATTCTTGAATTCCCAGGATCCAGAAATTCTGGAAAGAAGATATCCAGTGATCTTGCACCAATTCTCATTACGCGAGGGATCGGGTGGGAGTGGAGAATATTGTGGAGGAGAGGGAGTTATTCGGGAGATGGAATTTCTGGAGTGAGTGCTTCTTATTTACTTAGACGACAGAAATATTAGATGGAGAGCTGAAGGTGAGCGGGCGTCGAGGCTCTTTAGACCGATCCAATGCTCGATTCTGTCTGAGAGAAGGGTGCATAGGCCGTATGGAATGGAGGGAGGAGAACCTGGGGCGTTGGGGATGAACCTATGGATCAAGAGGAGACGAGCGGAGGACGGGGATCTGAATGACCACCAACCTGGAGCGGAAGAGGACCATGATGTCAGGATGATTAGTCTGGGAGGTAAAAGAACGGTGATGATGGGCAAACACGACCGCATTCGTATCTTGACCCCCGGCGGCGGTGGCTGGGGCGTCAAACAGCCGGCCGACGGTCAGCGTCAGACCCGTGACAAGCTTCTTGCCGATGCTTCCGGTCCCGCCACTGTGATGCATCAGTTGCGTGGTAGCTTGCAAGACAGACACGATGTCGCCCACTCGTCCTGATTTTGGTCATATCAAAACTTGTGCGAGTTGATTCATAATATTGCAGTTTCCCCAACAGAAAAAGTGTATGTTAGTACTATGGATGGAGTTGCGAGAGTGTGTGTCTGAGTTGCCCATTGGGTTTCTTTTCCCTCCTTGCAATCATTCTCTCCATGTCGCCAGTGAGCTGTTATTCATTGGTGCAACCACTCAGATAGAAAGAGGCGGGGTGTGGGTTCGGCTGTCGGTGTCGGTTGCAGAGGGTTCGCTGGACAGCTAACCACTACTTTTACGTACTATCCTCAAGAGTCAAGACTCACCCACTCTGCCGCTAGGATGACCACTCCCAAGACTCTACGGTCATGGTTTGACGGACACACGAAGCTCTTGAGACTGGAGCGAGCCTCGGAGAAGGAGGAGTTCGACCTGCTCACCTCGGAGAAGGTAAAGCGTGGGCAGACGAAGCTGTTGGAACGGATGGGGATATCCATCGGTGGCCTTGGGGTTCGGAGCACCAACATTGGATTGGGCGGAAAGACGTAAGCTTCCCTCGTTCAAGATCTAGTAGTAGTTCTGTTTGGCCAATCCTTCTCCTCTTCTGATCCAGGATCGTGGAGCTGGAACGGCCTGCACAGTATCATACCGACCCGAAGCTGCCTTACCATGTTCTCCGATCTGGGGTCCCCGTTGGAATCATCGACCATCTCGTCGGCTCATCGAAACCCTCCAAAAAGAACTCGGCCCCACATGATAAGTTCGAGGTCATTGAGGGCGTGGTCTCCAAGGTGTCAGAAACTAGCATCGCGGTCACCATCGGTTCGCTCAAGGATGACTCCGATCAACTCGAACTCCCTGCAAGATGTCGTTTGTAAATCTCAATGTTGATCGCAACTGATCCATCCATTTTTGAAAAGCACTGATTTGTTTCCATCCCTCCCCCTTCGCTGATGATGTCCATTCAGAATCAAACTGGCGGACACGGCGACTTTCGACAGGTATAGCTCCTACTAGTCTATACTCCGTGAAGGCTCTTCTCTAGCACAGATTTTTCCCGACGAGCCACTGGACCCGCATTTTTGTTTTGTTCAACAGGCTCGAGCAAACGATGGACCAAGTCTTACAGGCGTGTCAGAACGCTGGCCTTCTTGCATCGAGCTCTGAGGAGGAGGAGGAGAAGAAGAAGGAGAGCAAAGGCGACGTTGCATCAGTCACCAACCAAAGTGTGTCTGTCTCGTGTCTGAAAAATCCACCGCATGTAAGAGAGTAGCTTGATTGATCTGGTTCTACGTCTCGGCTGGTGGTCTCCCAGAACCAGAGCAACGACAACAGGAACCAGCACCCTCTGCATCCAAGACGTCCCTCCGCAAATCTTCCCTCAACTTGACCGATTTGATGCGGGTCCTGCTGGGGATTGATCCTATTCAGATCGTGAGCCGTTCCTGTTCTTGGTTTTCTTTTTCCCCAATCCATAAGCCATATATGCGTATACCATGCGCCAGGATGACTAATTTGAGAGAGAAAGAGTGCTGCAGCCCAGAGAAGACGAAATCGATCGAATTCCCCTCCCATCA